CATCCATTTCTCATCCCCTCATTTACATGTCTTCCGTATCCTCTCTTGGTTTTTCCCGTCCATGTCTGTCCATCTTCAGACCCCCAAAACAGCTCAGAACGTTAGAGAGTTCAATGGATGCAGAGATGCACATGCTGATGAGTTTAGCTGCACTGGACAGAGTATAACTGGCTACCTCCCCAAAGCCCCTCCCCCTCACATGAATTCCATGCTTGCTAGTATTGCCACGGCAACACAGAAAGTATTTCCCAAACGCTGAAGGTTCTATAATAGCCAATGAACAGGAATGAGCCTTTTTTTATAGGGAGAAAGTGTGTGTGTTTGGGGGGGGCAGTGATCAATCATAAGCACTCTGACCAATTCCCCACCAAATCTCGACTGCACTACCCCTCCCCATCACAGTGGTCACCATAGTTATTTCACTCTTCAAATGATATTTCCAGGTATGTGCTCACTGTCATCACATCACCTGTTTCTGGACTCGTCCCAAACAGGATTTCACTGAACCACCGATTTTCACCACTGTCTGCCTGATCGCTGTTATACAAGGATTAGTAACTAAACTGGAAAGTGATAGAGAAGATTCTTTACCTAAATACCTTAGGATACACATACACTTGGGCAAACAAGCCACGTGGTAACATCAGAGCATTACGTTTTTCTATAAGTTATCTGTTGAGAGCCCACAGAATCCGTTAGAATGTGGCTATGCAGGACACCTTCTCGTGGTGAATATTGCGTCTGGCTGCTGAGGATGTGCTTTCAGTGCTGCTACCCCTTCTGATCTTCTGGAACCATCTGACACCGTCTCAGGCAGCAGGGACCCATGCTCACAAGCCGCTGAAGATTTCCCCGGACGCCAGGTAGGGATGACATCATAATAAATGATGCATCATCGGAACCAGTCGTGCGTGTGCACCGGCGTTCTCCCACCAGGACCCACCTTCGCACCCCCTCAGCCCTTTCTCCATGATGTTATTTACTGCTCTTGTACTCAGCATTTGCTAAGAGGTGGATCTGGATCGGGGCAGCGGCTGTAATATAGTAGGGGCATAAGCACCAACGGCTGGAACAGAAACAAGAATTACATAGTTCCAAACTCATTGTCGTGCTCTAAGTCTTCAGCCAAGTGTTTAATAAAACTTTCAGTTATGAGGACCCCCCAGTCCCCCATCACACAGAAACACACACAGCCATCCTAATCAGATGCAGCCAGAGAATCATTACTTATACCGACAAGGGCTTCCTATAATACTCATCTTTGTGTGCCTTGACTCTTGAACAAGTCTGTAGAAGCACAGATGTTACCATGAGGACCTTTCAGGCTGTGCAGCGGACACCCTAGACCACCGCGGACCCCCAAAAGGCTAAAGGTCGCATGTGACTGATCAAGCCTGGTACAGTGCATAGAGGCCCTGTTCATAAGCGCTACGCTAACAGCTAATGGTTGAGCAGTGGCACATAGACCTACCGTGGGAACTGCGATCGAAGCCCCATCTGTCTGCCTCCAAAGGTCACAATCTGTCGTGGCAAACAACAGTGTGGGCTGCTACGGGGATTTCGGTGCGGGAGTGTGGCGATGCATGACTGTTGTCCACGCCGCTAAACCCACCGTCTGCTGCATCGCCGCGGACCCCCAGCCGGGGCACCCACTGGGCCGACGCCACTGCCTGAGACTTGGATGGGAGCGCCAGTGGACAGGGGACAACTGTATTCTGTCACGCAGTGTCACTGCATACATGATGAGCAAGGTCCTGTCTGCTAGACTCGTGGAAGGGATACCAAGCACAGCTGTGAGGGGAGGGGGGCACAGTGACACTGAGACAAATGGAAAGAGTAAAATCATTTGTGACAGTCTGTATTTTTAGCTAAATTTATGCACTTTGATCCATGAGATGAGGTCAGATTTAAACTGAAACCTGTTGGAGAATCTTGCACATTTAGCAACCAGACAAAACAAAGGTGTAATAAATTGTTAGTAAACATGAATAACTCATTTTCCAAGTAACTTGGGGCAGCATGTAAGTTTACACATTAATGTATTGGATGAACATAAAAACACAAGCACACTTCCTTCTGTGAATCGGCTGCCTATCCTTTAGGGGCGACCAATATGGGATTCATAAACGAGCCATAGAGTTTGCAATCAATCTGTGCTGCCCTCTACTGATAGTTTTGAGACCAACAACTCACCAGTACAAGTTAGCCTGGCTCAAGACTAAACTCAAGGCATTGCTTTCACTGCTTATGTGCCACCTGTCAAGCTTAACTTTGGCCAGACAACCACCTACCTCACAGCAACACAAACCTGCCATGGGAATAATGCGCTAATTAGTGTTTTCATCCATGTCTTTCTTCTATCCCTCTGAGGTTGTGCCACCCCTGTACATTCATTTTCCACACTTCATTTTCCCACCATGCATCATCTTCATCATTTCTCTTGGTGACGGTCTTGGTGATGGTCTTGGTGACGGTCTTGGTGACGGTCTTGGTGATGGTCTTGGTGACGGTCTTGGTGACGGTCTTGGTGACGGTCCTGGCAGCACCAAACGGGTCACAGCAAACCTCCCTCACCAAGGCCACAGACACAGAGGCCTAGATGTAAATTCTGGGCCCCCTGACAAAATGTCACCTCGCCCCCCCCTAACCCTAACCCCCCACCCCCACTAAAGCAGCCAGTTTCTATCTGAATAAACACAAGTCCCCACTATAGATAGAATTTACCGGGGGGAGAGTGGGGGTGGTCCCCCATGGTAACAGATGCGCCAGCGAGACACGCACCAATAATCAGATGTAGCTGAAGATCAGTCGTCTGTGTGGTGACCAATACAGGGAGGTACTGAACTCTTAAATACACGAAACAAGGAAAAATCCAGAAAGGAAAACATGTGTCTCATTGGCATTTTATGACAATATTGTAATTATGACTTTGTTACGCAAAACAGATTGGCGATGTTAAGTAGGGTGGAAATCCAATCCAAGATTTTCTGGTCTGCAATTATATACAGCAAGTTTTCTAACTTGCAGTCTTACTTAATATGTTTCATGTGTTAAGCTGTTACACTATTACCAACACAAGGCAACACAAGGGAAACTGCTTATTTAAAGTTGTGAAACTTTACTGGTAGCCAATATTATCTAAACTATAAACACATGACATGATAGCAAAAAGAGTAAAAGTAATACAAAACTGTTATAAGGGAAGGTAATCCTTTATTAATGAAATGTAATTAATCAGTTAGGCAAGTAAGCATTTCCACCTCTGATTTTTTCTTGCTGACTTCAGTCCCATTGAGCATTTCGGACGTCTCCTAAAAGCTCTTGAGGTATCCCATAAAACTGGCCATTTCCTTACTGCCCTGTCTTAAGGTGCTTCACAAGAGATATGATATACCTCAGACGATATGATATACCTCAGACCATGAACCATTCCTTACATTCTCTATACTCTTCTCCACCCATCATTCTGGTACAGGTTGAGTTTCTCTCATCTAAAGAATGTTTTTCCATAATGGAACAGGCTTTTTAGATGTTTTCTGGCAAAGTGAAGTCTGGCCTTCCTATTCTGGAGGCATATCAGTGGTTCTCTCGGTTGTAGACTCTGATAATAATAATACCCCCACCTCCCGGAAAGTGTTCCTGACTTAGCTAGATGTTGTGAAGTGATTTTTCTTTACCAAGGAAAGTATTCTGCAGTCATCCACCAGTTGTGTTCCATGGTAATCTATGCATTTTGATGTTGCTGAGCTCACAAGTGTGTTCCTTCTTTTTAAGAATGTACCATATCGTTGACTTGGCCACCTCCTAATGCGTCTCCCATCTGTCTGATGGGTTTATTTTGTTTCCTCAGCCTAATAACGGCCTCCTTTGCTGGCATTGACATTTCTTTTGCCCTCATGTTAAGTGACAAATGCAAAAAATTCACAACATACAGGGCATTGAGCCCTACTGCCTATGAGGCAGTTGATTGTGTGAACAAGTTATTCAGAAGTGGTTCATCGGTGTAGAGTGTGTGTGTGTGTGTGTGTGTGTACAGTACCAGTCTAACGTCTGGACATGCCAAGCCACTTACAAAGCTGAATGATAGTGTCACATCACATGACCTGGCCTACTGACCTAAACCCAGCAGAGATGGACCTGGAGGGGTTTGTCCAGGGAATGAAGGAAAGCGTTCAGCATAGATGTGGGACCTCTTTCAGGACAGCTGGAAAGGCTCTGTAGACCACCTCATGATGTAGAGGAGGAAGGTCAACCAGCCCTGGATCATTCAGGTTAGGGGCCTCACTCAAGGGCCCAATGGTGGATCACTCTACTGACAATGAGATTTGAACCAGTAACCTCCTGAGTCCAAACCACAGAGCTGCCCCTACAACAATGTCTAGGTAGACGAGGTAGTACCTCAATTTTTCAGATTAAAATGAAACAAGTAAATTTGAAATAATTACTCATATATTCTTGTAATTTAAAAACACATTCTCTCTTCTTTAGAGAAATATATACAAACATCCGACCTTAGGCACACTGATTTCAGGGAGGTGGGGGCACTGGCCGTAAAATTTGTGGACCGTTTTTAATTCTAAGGTGTCAGGGGCTGCTATTCATTCATGGGACACGCCTGGAGCAGCCGGGAGAGATGGAGCTTCTGCTGTCAGTGAACTTGCTGAATGTGACGCCTCAGAAGGCATGTAGTGCTTTGATCTTTGCTAACCGTAAAGGTGTAAAAAACATCTTCCTCCGTCAGTAAGACACCGTTGGTTTTGAAAAGCAAACAAAGAAAGAAAGAAAAACACAAACATACTGCATTACCGGTTCTGTATCAAACAGACCATGATTCATCTGGAGCAAAAGCCATTCCTGTTATCAGCTAATTCAACAGCTAAAACACAGAAAAGGGGACAGATTCAGTGACCTTTAGACAGAAATAATACTGTTGCGTAGTTAAGGTGTACTATCATTTAAGAGTCAGCTAGATAGTGAATAGATGGGACAATATTCCAGAATTTGATTTACCCTTTTATTTTGAGTGCATGTAAACCTAACATTGAGTACATTTTTTATGTGGATGTCGCATAGAGGTGCAGAAGTTATACGACAACCGTTATTAAAAGGTGCTTCATGTGGGCACTAGTGAAAAAGCCCGAAGTATAACATTCATGTCATTCACATTAACAGCTCAACTGGCATCTAATGAGGCAAATGTGGTTTCCTTACACAACCATTTACCAAAACTCTGAAGGAGGCAGTGCAAAAAAAAACAATGCTCATCAAAAGCATTTCAATTAATGCTTTCATAATTTTCCTGTGCAATGCTTTACCAATTATCCAACAGTTCATTGCTTCCCAAATTCCCTTAACAAAATTTAAGAACCTGGGCCACATATCAAAGTAAATCACGTAAGGTTCCATTAGTCAACCACCAGAGGGCGCAGGTGTCTCTTAGGAGCACTAAACCCCAAAGATTAGCCGACGTTTCTGTGCCACCACACATATCCTCACAAGCCATGATTCACACATTGCATATTTCCTAAGCACGAGGTAATCAGGAAAAAAAAAAATCCAAAACCATAATACTGCAAACATATTCATAAATATTTTGTATTTCATGATTTTTTTTTAACTGCTACATAATTAAATAGCAACTGTTGTTATTTTTTCCCCAGATGTAAACAAATGTGAGCAGTAATGGGAGAAATGAGGTGGTTCTGAAACCACTTTGGGTGGGATTTCTGTGAGTCACTGTGTGGTTTGATCCACTTTCTAATGTTTAAAAGCTGTGAGTGGGATCAGTCAGGGAGTCACCGAGAGCCTAAAGTTCTTCCATCAGCTGTGGGTTTAAGCCAGACACGTTTCAGTATTGCTGCATAAAAAAATATATATTAAAAATAATAATCCTCAAATACTTGAGGATTAAATAAGTGCCAAAACGTCGACACCCTGCACGCTTCACAAGCACGTGATCTACTCAGGGAAGGGTTAGGTACTTGGAACGAACCCAAAACCTACAGCCTTTCAGGGTAGGTAGGCCTCCAAATGCAATTCAGCAATCTTTGCCCTGGTGAGCAGGCCAGGGCTGTGGATCTGTGAGGTGGGGGTGAGTGAGGGAGCCTGGGGAGGAAGTCGTTCTCAGTCTGGGCCATTCTGTAGCAGAGGAGTCGTTTCAGTGGCAGAAGAGGTCGGGTCCTTAACTGGGTGAGATGGACCAAACTCTTCAGAGCTGCGTTTCTGGCAAAGCGGGGAGAGAGGAGGGGGGGGGGGGCAAGAGGTGAGAATCGGGTCACAATAAACCGAAGTTCAGCACAAGGCTAGTGATCAATAATTGCGACAAACCGAGAGACATTCACCCTGGTGATGTCATCAGTAGAACCTCTGTGAGCATACACAGTGACAGCATATGGACTTAAGGTCCCTGACATTTCCGTAATGTAGCAGAAATGCATAAATTTACATCGGGGTCTGTGTGTGAAGACTGCTACAGGACAGTAAGAGACCTGCCTTCATAGCAGTAATCTATAATCTGTGATAAACTTTTCTCAGACAGTTTTCCTTTCATTTGACTATAGAATGGAGGGTTTCTATGGCAAAAATACACGTTCAAAAAACAGGCAGGAGTGTGCACTGAGAAACAGAAGCAGGCTGTCTGATTTAATCTGCTAGAGAGGAGCTGGTTCTTGTCATAACATGAAGTGTACACTCAACATGGAATGAGGTGTGGTTATGCAATGAGATAGAACCAGAAAAACCATTGCCAATTGGTTCCGGTTGACAGATTTAACGATCTCGCAAGGAACTTTTGCTCAGCTGTTTGTGGAGAACGTCAGGTAACGTTTCAATCCTGTTACCCACCTGTGCCAGCCAAGACAAACTTTTCAGGCTGCCTCGCAAACACACTCTGGTCGTTTACCCTGTCTTTTACGCAGTCCTAAAACACAATCAAGCCTCATTTAATCTTAATGTTGGTTGACATGCTCTGGCTGTCATTGGCTTGATTGAGAGGCCGCGATTGCAGTTACATTTATTATGTTATGTTGGTGGTTTCATTGATTATTTATTCATGCAATAGAATCAAGTAGGTAATTTGGAAAAGATTGAAAATTTTGACAGGCAACATTCAAGTCACCACCATCAAACAACGTAAAGATTGACCTGTCAAATAACTTCTCATGATTTTTCTATAATTACACTGATTAAACAATTCAGATTTGCTGGAGTACTTAAAATTCTCAAAAAATGCGACAATCAGTTCAAACAATTTATGGAAGTGCATGATTCTCGTTAGAATTCCCCACATCACAGCAGTCTATGGAAGCCCTGATGTGTTAAACAAACCCCATTGCCCTTCTGCTTTGTAGACGTCCCTTTCCCTTGTCTCAAAGACCTCTGAAAGAAAAGTACAGTTTGGGTGGGTGGATCCGTCTCTCCGGCTACATTGACTATCAAATTTTCCCGTTGATGCTGTACAGGCGTTTTAAGCTATAATTTCTGACTAAGCAAAAGGAAAACCACCATCTTCAAAACGGTGTGGTCTATCGTCAGTCATTATCCGATATACTCCAATGCACGACTTTCAATCCCGTCGCTACTATTGTCAACTACACAATGAAACATTTGGTATTTTACTAGCTACATCAGGGGCCAGTTTAATTCCACACTTTCCATAGCCAGACGTCACCAGTCTTGTGAAGGAACATCAGACTGCTTATGGTGACACAAATAACATCATATAAAAGCAAATCATGTAAAAAAAAAAAAAAAAAAAAAAAAACGATATTATTTGCTCTGACTTGCTGCCAGTTATCAGAATATTGTTAAGCAAATGAAAGTGACTAAATGTCTGGAGGTATAATTTATTTCTGGCTGGGTACAAGAACTGCAGAGGGGGAAGTGTGGATAAAATATTGCGGGGTATTCACGGATATCTACAAGAATAAACTTTAATAATAAGCTTTTTATTATATATTGTTTTTCGTTAACTTGTTTTTGTCATGTAATGGTAACAATTATGTTGCCTTGTTTTGCAATGTTAATGCTGCAGTGCTGTACCTTTTGTCTTTGTGTTTACAACAGATCTGGTTTAATCGCACACTAGTAGATATGCGTAAAATGTAAATTGAACAGAATCAAAACTGAATCCAATCGGCAACCTAAAAATACCTGCAAGTTCCTTAAATAAAAAGATTCTATTTTATGTTTTGGCACAAATCTAAGTTAAAGTCCTTCTGATACAGCATGTGAGTATTAGACTTGCCCATTATTCTTTTCAGTCATGTTATGTTTTTGTGCTGTCAAAAAAACAGGTTGGTTTTGTTTTTAAGGAACTTTACCCATATGTTCCTCAAATAAAACAATTTTGGTATACAGGACTTTGGCGTTTCGTGAATCAAATCGTTAGGTTGTGAATCAGAATCCAGTCGAGGTAGCCCTACTCAGCTGTCCCCTTTGAGTATCAGAAACAAGGATGCTTGTGTTACCCTGGGGTGACCAACCCGTCAATTGCGAGACTAGTTAATGATCCTTTATTTCACTGGTGGCCAACCAGTTGATTGCAATCGGCAAAAGAGACTGAGGGCATCAGCCCCCTCTGGGTCGGCAGCCAAACGTATGGTTACGATTTGGTAGCTCGTCACAGTATTTTCATCGTAAAAAATTAAGGTTGGACACCGCAGATGTTACCCATTTAGAGAAAAATTAGAGGGAGCATCAGATTGGCCATAGAGTGGTGTTGGAGCTGGATGAACTAAGAGGGTTTAGCCATACATTATTCTAAGGGGGAGAAAACACAGAAATGCAAGGGCTCTGTCTTTAGACTGTGGGGAACCAGTGGGGGTGGCAAGCAAGGGAAGGGAAGGTGTGCAGACTATGGGCTTACCTTCTCCCAGTAACACAGAACAGCAGCCCCCAGGAGAGCAAGGAGGCCCAAGCCGATGAGGACATACTGGACGTATTCCAGAATGGTCGGCATCAGCACCAGGTTCCTGTAGAACGTGGTCAGCACCGGGCCGTCGATGTACCCTTTCTGTGAAGGACGAGGGGCATGAAGTGAGGGGGCCTTTGTGATGCGGAAAAGGGTCCCCAGGAAATGCACTACGACACGGCACCGCCCAAGATAAAACACAGTCATAACTACTGACCCCCCCTCACTGGAGCCAGCTGAAAGGTGCTGGGGCTACAGAATGCAGGTTCCTACACGCACATGTCAACTGACCTCTTCAAACCAGATCATGGGCATCACTACTTCAGAAATCTTGCCAGTCTGCCTGGGAAGACGATATAAAGAAAACATGAACTAATAAAATAGTGACACTAAAAACCCAACGGTTTCAATGCTAGAAGAGTGGCAGCTATTTTTAGGTAAAGGATCCACAGTTAAACTTTTACAATTACTGTAGGCCATTAACTGTGAGAGCAATTAACTTCAAATAAGAACACACAAGAATACAGCTCTCAATGTTCTACAGATGGCCGACATCACGGCAGACGGCGTTCGGGGGCTTACTTGATGCCCGACACCGCTTTGATGTACAGGCTGAGCTGCAGCCGGATGGATACGTTCATCGGCACGCCGGTCTCCTGTCGAGTAGCAAGGGACCAGAGGTGAAGAAGCAACAGGGCACTGCGGCCTTCCACTGCAGGAGCTCTGGAGTTGGCCAGAAGCTTGCTGAGCAGCAAAGGCGACGCCAACGAGCTGAAAGCGTGCAGATCTTATCCGCAAAGGACCAGTGTGTATGCAGGTTTTTGGGACAACCTTTAGGTCAGCTGTTCAAACCCAGGTGTGACAAGAGTTTTAAGAAAACATAAGCAAAACGAACAATCCTCACTATGTACAGTACACTCTTAAAAGACGCTACATAAAAATATGTGCATGACGTCTAAATGACGCCAAGTCCCCGACTCCCAATCAAACCAGAATAACCACTGGCCAGAGTCCACCTTGGCCGTCTGGCACATTATCACTCTGGTATTTACGAGAGTATAAAGTGCGGCATAAAGTTTATGCCTCTGTGTTCCCACAATGCCGCTTGTCCCGAAACAAAGGGGAGGACAGGGGGTCTTATAGGACACCTATGAAATAGCAGATAGACCACCGCAAGGGCCCAGGCGTATAAACCGGCCAGACCACAGACCCCGAGACACCAAGCTAAGCAGCTGTACATCAGCATCCCACTGGATAAGACACTTCATTAAATCTAATAAGTCCTCTTGCACTTATTTATCTGGGTTGTTTGGGAAAGTACATTTTTTTTACTTTAGACCACTGTTCTGCAGTCTGTATCACTTCAGATTTAACGGGTTTCCATGGCGAGCCACCATCACCACAGATAAATGTCTTAAAACCACATCACATTTTCCTTTCCAAACAAAGGGTTCCATTTTCATAATGAAAATGGCTTCATCAGGGCACATAATTACAAAACAGCCAAATGATAACATTCATCACAGTCATCTATAACGGTGAGGCATCCATCTCGTTAATGTCCAGGGCTAAATGTCACATTCTTAAATCACGAGCCACACAGGGCAGCCAAAGCGGCTGCAAAGGAAAAATCCTCATTTTTGAAAGATATTTTATCCAGTCAAATAAAACTAGGAGCCCTAAGTTGATAAACAAATAACTTGGTGGCATTACAGTGCCAGCCAAGGGTTCGAGTTACTGGTTTCATATTCTTGTTCATGCTCTGAACGAGACCCAGTTCTGTTTAAAGTTTGCATTACTTTCTCGTTAATTATTTGATCAGTCTCCAGTGTCACAAAATTACAGCCATGAGCCTGGAGTTCACAAAGCTAAGATGCTTGAGGACCTGAGGATTTACTTGGGAAAACTCCAAAGAAATGGCAGGACTTTGTTTGTTTAGATGACGTGAAACAAAATGGAGATTTACAATTTGAAAATGTAGATTTCAGACAATATCCCCTTATGTTTTCACTATTTCTATGAAATGAGACCATGTTTTTAAAACATGGAGTTCTATCTATATTATATATGAAATGTATATGTATAAGTATGTGAACACCAGCATTACAGATACTGAATGACATCGATAAATGTAGGCCACCCACTGATGACATTGAAAATGGATAATTAATCAATGCTGCAAATGTCAATTGCTGCAGTGTAAGCAAGAGAAATCTGACCAGCCTGATAAGTGGGAGCAGATGGTTTAGCTGCAGGGTTACTGCTCACATGGATTTTGCATAAAACCCAGTTTATGAGGTAATAACCCTTTTAGTGACATCATAAAGCACTGATAATCCCACACTATCATTATAATCTTAACCAGTAAGTGGTCCTCAAAGTCATTTCCAATTAGCTTATCAAAACGGCCTTGCAGGTTTACTCGCGATCAGAGACCTTGGCACAGCTGGCGGGAGCACAGCCAGAGCCTGACCCTGTGCGCTGGCGGGAGCACAGTCAGAGCCTGACCCTGCGCTCTGGCGGGAGCACAGCCAGAGCCTGACCCTGTGCGCTGGCGGGAGCACAGTCAGAGCCTGACCCTGCGCTCTGGCGGGAGCGCACCGCCTAAGGAATCAAATTTCAGAGGCCGACTGCACAGGTAAGGGCTGCGAAACATCAGACACAGGCTGAAGCTGGGGGGCACAGCAGGGGGCACAGCAGGGGGCACAGCAGCATCAAGGCGAAATGCGAAACAGCTACCAGAGGTCACTCTGAATAAATCTGCAGGTCATACATGTCTNGGGGGGGGAAACAAGGATGTTTATTCAGTCAGTTCAGATAAGATGGGAGAGACCCTCACTTTCATACATATACTGCCAGATAAGCAGATAACAAAACTGCATAATCACACGTCAAAGTTAATGTTTTCCTGAAAACAATTATGGTGGAGTGTCATTAGATATATATTGGGGTTGAATTGATAAACTACTAAACGACCTTCCAAAGTTAACAGCATTCAAAGTTTGGAGGAGTATTATATAAAAACAGGGCTCTCTACATACACAAGCATTCTGAAGGGAAGTCATGTCTCCTTGAACCTGTCTGAAGTAGAACAGACCCCCCCCCCATCTCCAACCTGAGGCTGAAGGGGCCGGAGTAAAGGAAAATAACTCAAAGGCTTTGTAACAAGGAGGATGACCAACACTTAGGGGGCGAGTAGGGAGGACCGCTCACCGGATGGATGTCAATGAAGAGGCCATGCTTGTCTTCTGAAGGATCGAGCCCCAGAACGAAGTCGCGGAGGACTGGGTCCCCGTTGTAGAAGTGCGGGTGAGAGATGAACACTGGAGCATCTGAAGGAAGCAGAAGCCGACACCGTCAGATCTGGGGTTGGGGCGAGAAAGTGGCCGCACGACACGGCGCTGTACTGGGAGCACTGGGTGATGCGCTACCCAACCGTGAACAACCAGACAGGGAAACCTTAGCAGTGAATCCAGCTGAAAAGCAAAAGGCCATAATGGTGGCACAAAAAGCCTCATTCGAAGCAATAGGTCTATGCTCCTCATTAGTATAACATCTGAAAAATCTACTAGTATAATGCAGCTTCCATTTCAAATTGACAGAAGTACTTATGAAGGGTGCCAGTCTGTGCAAAAGCCCAGGTGGAAGCCGACGTGAGAAAAGGCGACTTACTGAGTCTGCATGTGCTGACGTTCTGGATACCAGACTGCCTGCAGGGGCAGAAGCCCTGGTTCGGGGCGTAGTCTGACCCATTGGCAAAGAGAGTCGTGGGAGCCACAAAGCGATAGACAGGAATTCCCCGCATGACCCCTGGCCTTTGGTAAACCAGCTCCATTGACCTGACATAAGTGCAAAAAGCACAGTCTGTGAGCTGGGCAGCAGCGTGCACAACCAAAAGCTCCAAAGCACAACAAAACAACCACCAGGCAAGATGCGATGAGCAGAACGTGCCGATTCTATGTGGCCGTCAAATGCAGGAGAACTAGGGATTTCTCAGGCTATTGTGGAAGAACTCAACATGGCAGAGTAATAAATCGAGCCTGGAAGAGGGGTAAAGGCGATATCGCAAGAAAGGGAAACCAAGCCTATGACTCATCTGTGCTTAAGAAAGCAAATCATTTACAAGATAAGCTGATGGATTTAATTTTACCATCACATTATCTCTAGTAATAAAGGGCTGTTACATCACCAAACAGCGGTTAATGTAATGATGCGACATGTTTTACCCATGCCATGCTAAAAGTCAAACGCTAATGCTCTTACATCTGCTGACATGCGTTGTGCAAGTGTCAAACATAGCATGACATTTAAAATTAGCGATAAAACACCATACCATAAAAAAGGATTACCTTAAACCAGAAAGACATATAAATAACTGTATAATTAAAAAACTGCACAAAAAAAATAAAAATACATAGAACAGGGATCTTCAACTATTTTTCCATGAGGGCCAAGGCTGAGGAGCGAATCGACCACATGGTCCGGATTCGGCTGTATTTCAGTTTGGATGCAGACTTCTGTCTGCCCCTTGGTGCCCAGTGATATAGAGGTTTATTCCACAAATTAATTTCAGTCACAGATGAATAATCCCACTGACATTTGGACTGATTTTTAAAAAGCCTTTTAAGTATTTGCGGCATACTCTCTTCAGCTAGCAAACTTCTAAACCATAGTTTTTGTAGTTATCCTGATATATTACTAACAGCCAAAACATTCTTCTAAATGAATAACACGTCCACTTACTAAGGGGGAAAACGCTGGGGAAACAAGGAATGCTGGGTAATGTTGTGGATTCTCAAGCATTAGAACATTTATCAAATAAACAGAGTTAAATGTAGATATTTAGGGTTACCGGCAGGCATCGGGACTGTAGAAGGACAGGGTGGAGTCCGTGGTCATGAAGGGGGGCCACATCTGACCAGCAGTCCCATTGATCATGTTGCACTGCTTGGTCCTCCAGTAGCTCAGCTGGTGTGGGGGTTTCAGAGACTCCGGTGAACCATCTATGCCGTTTACATTCATCACCCTTTAACAAGGGCTAACAAGCAGCACAGACAGGATTAACCCACCGAACCCAATCTGTCCGACGGCTGTGGGGAAATTCAACTCCACTCAAAACGAAAACCTGGTTCTCACTCACACCCACCGTCTTTCACACCAAGTCATCTTTTCATACTTTCAAAAAAGTCATGCACAGATTCCATTATCCTTCCAAAACGAAGGCCACAAGCAGGCCGAAGGAGCCTGCACAGAAGCAGCAACAGGCAGAGCTTAAAGAAAAGCTTTAGGACCAAAGAAGAGAGATGGAAGTCGACCCTTGAAAATTCTGCAGAGGTTATATTACTGGAATGCTAAACTACTCATGGACCACATGTGTGTTTCGCCTGTAACTCCACAGCCCTGGTTTCACACACGCCCACAATGCAGAATTCTCCTGGCCCAGAGACTCGCACAACAAATGGGTGATCATAAGACTATCTGCATTATGGGTATTTTCGCTCACCTCCTTGAGACCATTCCACCAATCAACTTTGTGGACTTTTCTGATGTCATCCTGGCCGGTGAACACAGTAAAAAGTCCAGTGTTGGAATTGTTAAACTGTGGGTATGAAGAGAGGAGAGGAAGACAAAAGGCACAAATGATCATCATTTGAGGACATCTAGAAGGCGAACGGCCCTGTCAGCATGCGGACTGCAGCTGGTGGAGAAGCATCACGGACCTCGGCAAACAGGCCGAACTTGCCAGATGCAGGCAGCATGCCCGGGAAGAACTTGTTAAGGAACTGCACCAGCCGGCTGTCGTAGCCCCACATCAGCTCACCCACTGGCTTAGTGAGAAAGGCCTCCTCCTTGAACGCACTGAAGACGGAGCTAACAAAACGGCGTAACTCCTGTGACAAGTCCTCCATCATCACTGCTGCACCCTGGGGGTAAGGGATGAAAAGGGGAGTCTGTGACATATGGAGCAGACCGCCTGACAGGAAGTGAATGCACAGAGCAGACCACCTGACAGGAAGTGAATGCAGTCCCAGCATGGAGGAGGAGGCCTTCCTACAAAGGCTCTTTCCATTCTTAGCCACGACCAGAGGCAGGTTTATCAGGTTATGGGGAAGGGGGGGGGGGGGTAGCTGTGTACTACATACCCACTCCAATGCAGCTCTACCTATAACCTATAAAGTACTAGACATACATTTAGTAAATAGGAGACTACACGTTGTAATAAGTAATTGTGCAGGGTAATATTCTAATCTACCCACGTGTGCCTCTGAAGTCACCTGGTCCTTAAAGGTCTGTTCCTCAATTTGTACTCAATCCAGCTATGGAATGTAAATTTAAGTACTATGTGGAAATGGACAAAATCTCTAATATTAAAATGCTTTTACAAAGTAATACAAGCTCCCATAAACACCACGTTTAGGATTAAGTGTGAATTGCAAAAAAAGAAAAGAAAAACACAGTGATACTGTGTTAGCAAAAAGCAGTCCATGCTGATGTTAAACATTTTACACTTGTTAGGGTAAATTATAATATGCATGCAAAGTTCAGAGACTGTATTTTATTTTCTTTGCACATAGTAGCTAGACTCTAAGCTCTGCTGAAGCGATGGTAACGTTATGTCAGCTGCAGGAGGAAAAAGTGCTGAACAAGCAGCATGTGCTGGTCAGCATGTGCCGACTAAGAGGAGGAGAGTTCACATGAATTCACTTGCTACTAGCTACTGTATGTATCTGCTAAATAAAGAGAAATGTAGAGTCATAATGGAAAAGTACTGCATTATTTGTGAGACAGATATTGGAAATATGAAGCTCTTCTGTGTTGTTCAGTGTAGGCATGTTTGGTATAGAAAGATAACGAGCAACATCAATAAACCCTGAGTAGGGTATTCAGTATTGTAAAATGCTGGTAGCTAAATAATTTCTCAAATTAAGGGCGCATGGTTATTAAACATTAACTAACAATATCATTGCAAGTTTCATTGTGACACCTTTAGCATGTTGCTAACCCAATAAAAGGCAGAGGTGCCAAAGGTCATACCAGCACTAGCATGTTGGGGATGGTGACCACGTCAGACTCACTGCCCACAGACATGTTCCTCACAAAGTGGTACCGCCGATACTCCCGGTATGACACGGTCTGGTTGGCATGGAATGTTATGTTATCCTTCTGACGGTATTCCCTGAAAAAGAGGAGGGGCTGTGATGTCAGAAAAGGTGGAAAATTAGCAAGGAATTTTGGGTGAAAACATGACAGGACTGGGGTGAGGGGCAGCTTGCAAGCATACAAAGTAGTTGAGAGTCAGATCAAAAAATATAAATAAAAATCTTCATGTAACAGAATAGACTTGATGTCCTACAGCCCCACAATGTTACTGTTAACGCTAATCTGCTGACGTCTGGAGGTAAACAGCAATGAATGCTGGAGGAAGTCTGTTCCAGTCATGCGTCTCGTCTCCAAAACAGGAAACCACATGCTTCAAAAATAGTGCTTATCCAACAATATAAGGTATATCCCACCCCCCAACACCAAGGGCATGACCGATTATGGTAGAGCAAGTCCTCCGAAGACAAATCCTCCCTTTATCCATGGATGATAATGGAATAACCACCCAAAAGTGCCCAGAGGGTCATGTGACTGAGCCGATTATCGTCTCACCTAAACACGATAAACATCATTCAAGTTACTCACAGTAGCATAATCTCATTGCTAACTACAGGAGGTTTTATTGCAAATGTAGCTTCATTGTAAGCTAAAGTGTGACCTATACCTGTAGACATATGGGCCTCTCTCTTCCACCAATGGTTTCTCCCCATTCAGAACCTCATCAGGGTTGAGGATGTTGAAGAAGTAGATCGACATGAAGAATGGCACAGGGATGTCTTTCCACATGGTGTAGGACAAGTCATTCTTTGGGTTGATCTCCACATTCTGCAATAAGCACCAAATAGACAGTACTGACATTAGCCAACTGCAGCATTTGAAACTGAACACAGACCTGTGTACAGTGGTAACTTGGTTTACAGGCATAATTCGTTCCGTAAACATGCTTGTAATCCAAAGCACTCGTATATCAAAGCGA